CCAAGGATCACAGCGGCGGATAACTTCAGTCTGGTCGATGGCATAGTTGCTACGGTTGCCTGCCACAGTATCCCTTCAACGCTGGCACCCCCAGCGCAACGCATTGGTTCAAGCCTGTCTGAGCAGTCCAGAAGAAGACCGCGACCGAAGTTCGGCTGCCAATCAAGAGTTACATTGTCTACGCCGAGGTGTGTACATCAACAGTGCGCACCACACAGTGCAAAGACCACATGTATGTCGGCCGCACCGGTGTGGGTGCAGGAGCGGTCCAGAATGCAACACGAAGTAAGCCCTTCTCCTGCCCTGATTGGTCTTCGGAGTGCGCCGAGGCGCTGTTCGCGATCGTGCCCGTGGCTCAGGAGGAGTTGCCGATCGACGTCGTGACACAACTATTCGTCCGCCAAGGGTCCGCCTCAGGGGGCGAAGGGGATTGGAACATGAGCACGAGAGTTGGGAGGAGCGGGGAGAGGGAAGCGAGAGCAAGGAGCCTCGAGGGAACGGGGGCGGGGCATGGGGGGGGACGAGGGAGGGGGAAGCATGGGGGAGGCGGAGGAGTGATACATCGAGCTGGAAGGGCTGAGGGAAGTAGGGGGAATTGCGGCGCATCGAATGAGCACAGGCAGAACGAAGAGAGTTGAGGACGCGAGGAAACCATGGAAAGGGGAGGATCGACACGAGAAGCTCGGGGCGAGCATTGCACAGCGGAGGTGGACGAGGAGTAGAGACAGGTGGGAAATGGCAGCGGCTCTCCAGCCTCACAAACTCTAACTCACCCGTGACTGGTAGCCACGGACCATCCATGTCTCAAGGTTTTTTGTCCGAGGATCGCGTTCCAACCGTCCTTGATCCCCCCTTCCTCCCCCCCCCGTTCTTTCCTCCTGCCTGCCCCTCCCTCACTGCCGTATCCCTTCATCCCCATGCATCCCCCTCTCCCGACCCCTCTCCCCCTTCCTCGTTGTTTTGTTTTTTTGTTCTCCCTCACACTCCTCCCTAGCGCCTGGGTTCCATTGCGCCCGGGTTTTTTTCCTACACAGGTCCAGCATATGATATTAATGTCAAGACGCGACACGTTCAAACCAGGCGAAATACAGAATACGATGCGACAAGGCACCATGAGTTCAACCGAATATTATTTGAATCATCGGACAGATACAGTACATGGGTGAATTGAACACACACGCATATAGAAATTGTTACGTAGCCGCCATGTTTGTATACGACGGGGTGCAAGCAATGAGTTGCCGCATGGAGCAGTTCGTAACAACAATGCAAATGAATAGCCAAAATGTTGAAGCAGCATCTGCTCGAGGGTAGGCCAATCGACACCAGCAGGTACAAACTCGCGTGTATTAGCGGAGTGTGTGTACGTGGCGTAGCAGAAACAAGGCGTTATGGGATGTAAACACTTCGTGAATTAATACGCATGTTTACCACGTGCAGTCCGGAATCATTTGAGTTCGGGCAGATAAATCATCAGGCGCGTAGTGGCCCAGTGTAGCAGGCCGCGGGTATACGAGGGAGTACAAGGAACACGCGATCGCAGGTAAAGCACTAACGTCATCACGATACGAATCACCCCCAGAAGGTGCGTCGCCCCTAAACGGGCGACGCGCGCGCGCCGAGAAATCTTTTAGCATATGCTCCGTGCCGCGCTGTCTGGCCGTACTGCTCGGGAGGCGATGCATTACAAGATGGCCGTACGCTACATTCGGGTCGGGCGCACGCTTCCTAATAGGACACATCGCACTGGCATGTCCTTGTGCGTCCTAGGGAAGGAGGATGACGCCGCCTCCGCCGCCTCCGCCGCCTCCTCCTCCTCCTCCTCCTCCTCCTCCTCCTCCTCCTCCCCCTCCCCCTCCTCCTCCTCCTC